CCCTGTTCAGGCATGAGCCCCAAGAGCTGCTCTCTCTGGATCGCTGCGTCTTGCAGGGACAGCTCGGCTCCCAAGACATGGAAAGATAAGGATGGTCCCATTCAGGATGAGCCCAACCATCATACACCGTGCTGCATCCTCCCGGGATGAGCGAATCCAGCTGAGCCTTTGCCTTCCCTGCAAGCACCAGCGAGCGCTGGAGCGAGCGGGTGCATGGACACGGGGAGGGGAAGGAGGGAGGCGGCTCCCTGACAGCAGAAAAACAAGGTGATGGATGGCCCCTTCGGCAGTGCCAGCCTTGGAAACCGGCCCCGCATCCCCCCGGGGACTTCATGGCACATCCTCAGGTTCTGCTTCCATGCAAAGGCACTGACAGCGAGTGCTGCCCTGGCTGAGGAGGCTTTAGGCTTGGATCCGGGCTTAATGCTCACCCCCAAGGAGGATGCTGGGACACGAGCATCGTCTGCAAAAGGCTCCAGAGCCCTGTCCCTTTAAATCTGATTTTTATCCCCTTTTAATACCTTTTCCCTAACCATTTCCCAGCCTCAGCAGCTGGCAGGGATAACTCAGCCCCCATGTCCAGGGCACGGAATGCCTCCTGCCTAAGCCTGTTGCTGACTTCAGCAAAGCTTTTCCTCTTCCCACATTGGAAGCAGGAGCAGAATCAGGCCCCAGAGAAGAGAAGAGCAATTTCCTTATTTCCTTTCTGGCAGGAATCTACCCAGCAAGTGAGGAGGGAAGCGAATGCAGCACTGAGCTGGTGGGAGCAGGGGATGTTTCCCATCGAGGATGCCTGCAGCTGATGCAAAGAGCCCCTGCTGTTTTGAATAACCCCCCAAAACCTCTCTCAGGCTCGTCCTTCTGCAAACCTGGCTCTTTTCCCAGGAGCACAGAGGCTTCTTGAAGAGCTCACATATTCCCCTGCCACCCCTGAGCCCATGCAATGGGAAGCAATAGTGCCAAGATACAACTGGTCCCTGAAAGCTTGGGGTTATGGATGGATCCGGCACCTAAACAACATCAGTTTGGCAGAGAGATGTTGCAGGGCTTGCTGGCAATGCAAGGACCCGCTAAAGTCATTGAGCACTTTATAGGGATGCTCTTTGCCCTCTTGCTCAGATCACTGCATAGAAAAGGATGGCAATGGGCATAGGAACAGGGCCAAAGTCCTGCTGCCAGGTTTGATTAAATCTCAAACATCGCCGTTTGGGGTGGCATTTCACAAAGATGCTCGATTGCCCCAGGGTCCCTCTGCAACAGGGCTCCAAGGGCAAACCCACCCCAAGCCCAACACTTCATCTTCTCCTTCAATTTGTTCCTAAACCACACTCATGGGAGCAGCTGGGAAGGAGCTCAGGGCTCCAGCCCTCAATGCCACCAAACCCATGGCCAGGTGCCACCACGGACTCAAGCAAAGCACTAGAGTTGTGCTGTGCTAATTGCCACCAGTGCTGTTCCTTAACGGAGCCGGTATCCCAGTAACTCACATAGGTGCCAACTGAGGTCACTGGGATTGCTTTATATAGGGGTTTGTTGCCAAGGAGCCGTATAGAGGCATCTTCTGAGCAGAGCAGTGGGGCAATGCCGTGTTGCCCACCAGCAACCGCTCGCACGTGCACGCTCACATATGCTTTGAGCCAGCAGCAGATGGGGACAGGGTAATGCAAGCAGGAGCATTGCCCAGGAACGCCTGTGCTTGTTGATAACAACGGCCTGGTGCTCAGCTGTGTGTGCATGTACTCACACGTGTGTTCCCGTGCAAACGTGGGCTTGTCCTCGCTTCATTCCCCCCTTCCTAACCCAAGCATCACTCACATGAGCATCCCCGCGCTCGAGCCCACACTGCTCAAGCCACATGCTGGTCACAGCCCTGCACTAATAGCAAGCAGCAGGCTAAAAATCAGCTCTGTGATGCTTCGGGGTTTGGCAACCAAGCCAAAAATTGCCACGTTGCCATGCTGAGGTGCATGCAAGAGGAGGAGGTGCTGCAAGAGCTGACCTGGAGGAGGGTAAATCCCCTTCCTTCCATGTAACCCCATTGGCTGTGGCTCCTCTTGAAATCATAGAACCCAGAATGGTTTGGATTGGAAGGGACCCTAAAGCTCCTCCATCTCCAACCCCTGCCACAGGCAGGGACCCCTTCCACTGGAGCAGCTTGCTCCAAGCCCCTGTGTCCAACCTGGCCTTGAGCACTGCCAGGGATGGGGCAGCCACAGCTTCTCTGGGCACCCTGTGCCAGCGCCTCAGCACCCTCACAGGGAAGAGCTTCTGCCTAAGAGCTCAGCTCAGTCTCCCCTCGGGCAGGTTCAAGCCATTCCCCTTGTCCACTCTGGTTTCAATCACTACCTTTTCCCTAGACCATCATAACCGGTCTCAGTGGCATGGGGGATGCTGGACTCATCCTACCTCCATATCCTTCCACCTAAGCAGAGGACAGGGGCTCATGTGCCAAGACAGACTCATCCCAATGTGTCTGGGCCCCAGTAGGACACATTCTGGGGGACTGCTGAGCAGGCCTTGAGTGCTGAAGGGAGATAAAGGATCTGGATATGTCACCAGCAACAAGGGAGCAAGGAAGCAGCAACAGGGACAAGAAACACAGGCCACACAGCAATCCACTGCAATTCAGCTTTATCTTCTCCAAGGCCCATGCCCAAGGGGTGATGGGCAGGGGTAACTTTTCTCTTTGAGCTGCTCCAATGAGACCAACCACTGGAATTGGTCTCGAACCATGATGGATGCTGAGATCTGCAGCATATTCCTGAACCAGCTCCAGCTCCCGATTTCCACAGCTTGTACAGACATCAGTACCTGTCCCAGGATCTGACAGATGGCCATCAGCAAGTCAGGCTCAGAACCAAGCTCATCTCAATTTGCAGAGCTGCCAACATCCCAGTACCAGAACAAACAGCCTCAGCGGGAGATAAATCAGGATGAGGGAAGAGGCTCTTCTGTGGCTCCCGACGTCTGGGCATATGAGGCTGCTTTGCCCCACACATCACCTCTGGTCACCACTAACCCTGACCACACTGGAGCATCTCACAGGGAAGACATCATCCCTGAGCTCCCACAGAAGCATCGCACCAGTCCATCCCCAAAAGCCCAAGCATCCCAAGCAGTGTTACAGCAACAAACCCTTGAGGGCCTCCAAAGCACCAACACCATGAGCCAACAGAGCTTGGTATGCAGCTCAGACACAGCACATCATCTCTTCCCCTCCCTGGTCCCAGATATTGAGGTTCCCTCTTCCCAAAAGGTCTCATGCATCACTCAAGCCACTCTGGACGCCAGACCCACATTTCTCCAGGTGAAAGACCATTTCAGCAAGGTGGGGGTAAGTGACCTATGTCAACATCTGGTTTTAATGATGACATTTGCAGGAAAGACACCAGAACAGGCCACGAAAGATTACCAAAATGCATTTTTGAATAGCTGCTGCCACCAGGCAAGGAAAAGAACCTCCTGGTCTCCTGCAACTGAGTAATGTGATTTGGGAGCCCAGCAAAAGCAGCACTGGATCCTCAGCTCTTAGATCTACTCTGCAGGACCAAGCTCAAATGCTTCAGTTGAAGGGATGCCTATTTTGTAAGTACTGGCTTTCATCCTTCCACTTCATCCTTTCCAGTTCAGCATCCCCCCAGACTGGAGCAGGACCAGAGCCCCCTCACCCCTTTCCATTAGCAGGCATTAAGAGATGAACTGCACAGGAAAAGACACCTCCAGGAAAAACATGAGGCATTTCAAGGCAATATTTGTCTAGCACCCTCCTGCCCAAAGATGAGCAAAGCTTTGCATTTCTTCCCTCTTCCTAAGGGATGAGATCGCGCAGGAATGCCAAAGGGAATTCTTGATTTCCCTTGAAGAAGCAGCCAATTTGCTTCTACTAATGTAATAAATGTGATTGCCTCCAAACAGCTCCCTGTGTCCCAGAGCCCATCTTGCCTTTACCATCCCAAGCAATGCTATAGCAACAAACCCTTGAGGGTCTCCAAAGCACCAACACCACGAGCCAACAGGCCTGGATGTGCAGCTCAGAGATGCTGCACGTCATCTTTTGTCCTCCCTGGTCCCAGCTCCCATGCCCCCTTCCCTGTGAGATACTGGCATGATGGTACCAAGGAGGTAGAGGTAGGTCTTCATCCCACACCACCCTGGACACAGAAGACAAACTACAGAACTAAAGAGCTGAGCTGTGTCTTAAGAGTTATCCCAGCATTCAAGGGTGCAGCTGGATCCTGTGGGTGAAGGTGGGGACTGGATTTGCCCTCCTGGGGGCTGGGGTGCTGGGAGTCAGGCCCAGGGCATGCTCAGTGGTGGGGCAGAGAAGGCTGGAGGCTCATTGAGGGGATCAGGCTGAAGAGCACATTGCTTTGTCATGGGAAAGAAGAGTTTTATGTTTTCCTGACTCATCTCCCCCACAGTTTCCCATTGGAAACCTCAACACTCAACTCTCACTTTCCAAACCCAGAGGAGACAGCCCTGCTGGCAGCCCGGTGCTTTTGGCAAGGCAGCACCTGACACATCACGGCTCCCCACGCTCGAACCCACCAGAAGACATCAGAGGGGGAAAGGAAGAGAAAAGCCTATGAATTCTTTTCCCTGATGAAAACCTTTTGCCCACCTTCAGTCCCAGCCCCAGGAGAGATGCCCCCCCTCACACCACCCTGAAATGGGTGATTGAAGCCCAGGGAGAAGAGTTGGAAGGACAGGAGAAGCTAGAGCACTGAGGAGCAAAGGGACAGTGCTGTCCCCAAGAAGGGCAGTGCAGCCAGCCTGGGGTCACAGACCCCAAATGGTGACAATAGGAGAGGAGAACTTGGGGGAGCAAAAAGCAAAAGTGTAGAGCTAGCACAGAGAGAGATGGTGGACGGACATGAAGCAGATGGAGAGGCAGGAGGACAAGTGGATCTGGGGAGCAGAGAACACCCAGGCAGGCAGATGGACATGAACCACTGTCTTGGGTCAATGCAACAAACCTCCACATCCCACATCAGCCATACCTTTCTGGATGCCTCCATCCGCCGCACAGGAGAAGTCGCCTGTGGCCAGCAGGAAGCACGTGGAGGATTTCTTGTTCTTATCCCGGGTGCTGGAACGCCGCATGGGCCGCTTCTCCTCTTCGGTGGGTGACAGCGGCTGCTCCTCATCTGACAGCACCACGTTGGCCTCACCGTTCTGCTTAGAGTCTGCAAGAAGGTGGCAGAGACCCATCAGCAGTCAAGAAACCCACAGGATGAGGTGCTTGGGGTGGATGGAAGGGTTTGCTTAGACCATGCAGGGAAGCAGAAGACCACTTTGCAGGTGGCCCAAAGCAACACCCACAAATCCAGGTTGCCATCCCAGCCTGGACATGCTAACTTAGGGTGACCAGGGGAGCAGGACAACAATAGATCCCAAGCAGCAAAGAGCAGCTTTTACTCCTGCTGAGGGTTATATACCCTGCAAAGCCAAGCAGAGAAGAAACACCCCTGGTCTTTGAGATCCACCCACCTCTTTGATGGGGATTAGCTCTCCAAAACTCCCACAGCTGAGATAAGGGCTGCTCAGGTTAGTGGTGAAGTGTTAATTGATGGCATCTGACTCTGTGGTTCGTTAGCTGAGAGGATGCCATGCTCAGAATCTGGCCTGAGCTCCTCTATCAGTGGTGGGGTGAAGGGATGGGATTGACCCATTCCTCAAGAGCAGTTGGGATGTGTAGGCATGTGGAAAAGGGAGATTCATAAAGGAAAACTGCTGTAGGGAATTTGGAGCTCCTTGTATCCTCACAGGTGAAGGACGATCACTGCTACACACATGTGGCCAGATGTGTGGCTGCTCAGGGCTGACCTCAGCGAATGCCACATCATTAACGTGGCACAACTTAGGACACAACCAGGGTCTTTCCTGTTTCCTCGCTGCAAATTAACTCTCCTGACCTGAAGGAAAGACTGGCCAAACCCCAAACTTCAGCTCAGTGCATGAGACCAAACCGTAAAGAGAGAGGGGCTGACTTTGCTCTTGCCTGAGTGCGGGATTTGGATCGGTTCTGACCTTACCAGGCAGGGATGCTGCATCTACTAGAAATGCATGGGGAGGCAGGGTCAAGTCCCAGGGAATATCCATGGATTTATCCTTTCTGGTGAAGCTTATCCTGGTTTATGGTGGGAGGAAGCAAAACAAAATCTACCCCAAGGGCATTACCAGGCTAAGATGGGAACCGGGCAAGTGACCTCTGCCAGTGTGAGGAGGAGATGGGCTGGGTAGGGACACTTTGAATCACACTATCGTGACTTCATCTATGCCATCAGGAAAGCATGATTTGGCCTTTACTCCCCTGATCTTGATCTGCAGTATCCTGGTCCCCCAACACAGCACCCAACACCCAGACACCCAAGGGCCTCAGCCCTTTCTGCACCAAGATCTCACCAACCCAAGAGCTGGGGGCTGTATATCCAGCAGCAGGGCAGCTCTCAGGGACTCTGGGATACAGGGAACCAAAGACATTGCCTTGGGGGCTCCTCCTGGAGGTCTCCCTCTCCCTCTGCCCCACTTTGGGGGTCTCACCTGACCGTTTCCTTTCAGTTGCCCCCTCCTCTACCGCCAAGGGGCACGTGTCGCTCTGGGTGCTGTTCCGGGGGGAGTTCTCCTCGGATTTGCAGTAGGTCGGGGAGTCCAGCGGGGCTGGACGGGGTATATGCTTTTTCTTCTTCTTTGGCAGCTTCTGCTTGGCCATGGCCAATGAATAGTACATCCCAAAGTTATTGACAATGACAGGCACGGGCATGGCGATGGTGAGCACCCCGGCCAGCGCGCAGAGAGCCCCCACCACCATGCCCGACCAGGTCTTGGGGTACATGTCGCCATAGCCCAGGGTCGTCATGGTCACCACAGCCCACCAGAACCCAATGGGGATGTTCTTAAAGTGAGTGTGGTCGCTCCCACGGGGGTCGGACGTCTTGGCTCCAATCCGCTCGGCGTAGTAGATCATAGTGGCGAAAATCAAGACCCCCAAAGCGAGGAAGATGATGAGGAGCAGGAATTCATTGGTGCTGGCCCGGAGTGTGTGGCCCAGCACCCGGAGACCCACAAAGTGCCGGGTCAGCTTGAAGATCCGGAGGATCCGGACGAAACGGACCACCCGTAGGAAGCCCAGTACGTCCCGGGCAGCTTTGGAGGACAGGCCACTGAGACCTACCTCTAGATAGAAGGGCAAGATGGCCACAAAGTCAATGATGTTGAGCAGGTTTTTAACGAAGAGAAGCTTATCTGGACAGCAGATGATGCGAACCAGGAACTCGAGGGTGAACCACAGGACACAGACCCCTTCGATGTAGGTGAGGATGGGCTCCGTCTCCACTTTATGCGTCAGCAGGATGGTCGTGGTGTTGCCAACCACGAGGGTCTCCGTCACGTTGACGTCGATGTTGAAGGCCTCGTGTGTCTCCAGGCAGAAGGTTGTGATGGAGACCAGGATGAAGAAAAGCGAGGCAAAAGCAACTACCTGCAGTAGTAGAAACCACATGGGCCATTAGCTGATTTGGGTCAACCCCTTCTGATTTAGGACAATCTCTCCTCTTTGGAGGAGAGCAGCAATTATGAACCACTGTGACAACTGGGGCAGCCTGAGACACACTTCTGGTGTCACCTGCCTCTGGTCCATCTCTTCTAACCCCTGCTAGTGAATAGCAATAGTAAGGATGGGAGAAGTCCTCAATCAGTAAGACAAGTGTGCCAGACTCAAACCACCCCAGAGCTAAGCTGCTGCCACCCACTTCCCCAAGCATAAGGACTGAAAATGAGGAGGGTTCCCTGGGCCATCCTGTGAGTTGACAGCAAACCTCGGTGTTTGGGGCCATCAGTCCAGAACCTTTCTCCAAGTGTTATGATAGGTGCAGGGGAAGATGTGCTGGGCTCCAGATGTGGCTGGAGATGTGCCCGAAATGCCAGCGATGGGGATGAAGGGAGACCTGCAGCACATGGGTTTGGAGCAAGCCTTCACTGGGAACACACATGAAAAGGGGACTTTGAGAAGACTAAGTCAAAGATCCTTCCCCCACTTTCATCCCAATGCCCACCCAGATGAGATGTTTACACCATTCACAACTGTGAGGTTTGGGGTCTGGATGTATCAGAGATGTCCCTTTGTCCCCTCCCTGCAGGGGTAGACGATGTGCCCATCAATGCTCCCAGCACTGAGAGGGCAGGACAAGGAAGAGACGATAGGCAGAGGTTAGCGTCCTGCTGATGCCTGGGCCTGGTGTCACCCAGATACTCCCATTTCTCCGCTATTCCCAACCAGTGAGGCCAGTTGGACTGGATGGAGACCTCTTATATCCCTTCTACATCACCTTCTCCCTGCTTTGCCTCAGATGAGAGTGAGAAGGGGCAAGCAACACACAATGGAAACCTCAGGCTGTGTCAGAAAGAAACCACTTTGTCGTCCCCCCATCAATCCTGCTCAGCCTTTCCAGACAGGATGAGCTCATGATGAGTCCATTACCCATCTGCTCCCAAAAGCCCTGAGGAAAAGACTCGGAGCAGAAAAGCTCTTCTTCTACCTTCCTCCAGCACAGAAGCACGGCAGGTTTGGCTTCCCTGAGCAGATCCCACTCAGCACCCTTTGCTGCTCACACACCCGAGCAGGATGTGACCTTGTGCTGTCAAAGCCACCCGACTGGCTGCGTTCTGCAGGCAGCGGCACCGAGACACAGCCCAGGTCCTCGGCTGGAGTGAATCAGCAGCAGAGACAGCCTGAGTCACGCTTGAGAGTAACCCAGCCCTGGCCACCAGCAGCAATGTGCCAGCAGCCCTGGAGCCTGCTGGGAGCATCCTTGAGGGGTGTCCCCAAGGGCAAATCCATGTGGGTGCAGCACAGAGAGCTTCAGCCCTCCAAAGGTTTTCACAGTCCAGAAACCAAATGTACCCTGGGCTGCATCCCCAGAGTGGGAGCAGCAGGATGAAGGAGGGGATCCTGCCCCTCTACTCTGCTCTCGTGAGCCCCCACTTGCAGCACTGGGTGCAGTTCTGGTGTCCCCAACATAAGAAGGACATGGAGCTGTTGGAGCAAGTCCGGAGGAGGCCAAGAGGATGCTCAGGGGCTGGAGCAGCTCCTGTGTGGAGCCAGGCTGAGAACATTGGGGCTGCTCAGAAGAGAAGCTGCTTGGAGACCTCAGAGCAGCTTCCAGTGTCTGAAGGGACCTGCAAGGATGCTGCAGAGGGACTCTTCATCAGGGATTGCAGTGACAGAACAAGGGGTGATGGGTTCAAGCTGAAATAGGGGAAGTTCAGGTTGGATCTAAGGCAGAAGCTCTTCCCTGTGAGGGTGCTGAGGCGCTGGCACAGGGTGCCCAGAGAAGCTGTGGCTGCCCCATCCCTGGCAGTGTTCAAGGCCAGGTTGGACACAGGGGCTTGGAGCAAGCTGCTCCAGTGGAAGGGGTCCCTGCCCGTGGCAGGGGTTGGAGCTGGAGGAGCTTTAAGGTCCCTTCAACACAAACCATTCCATGATTCTAAGTTAGGAATAAAGTTTAAGCCAGGCTCTAATTGATGAAGAAACCTCTGGAAGATGATTCTCCAGCCCTGGTGACAGACAACTGCTTGGGGATGTGCTGAGATGCTCCATGCCCCTCAGATAAGACCACACTGGACCACATGCTGTGATGTGGCTCCATGGGGGGCACCTCCAAAGGCAGCCCTCACCCATCAGCCATACACAATTTGGGAAGCAAACCCACAAAAAAGTGGGACCTCAAAGCAAGACCGGTTTAAGCAGACAAACATGTCCACACACGGCCAAAATAACCCACTTTTCAGCAGAAGGCTGAGCAACATTCCCGGATTTCCCTGGATGGGGAATCACAGGGAAACTGGAAGAGTAAAAACTTCAACTCAAGGCAACAGAAGAGGGAAGAAATTACCAAGGAAGAGAGTGAGACCCTGGGACGCTGTGGGAATGAAGCAACTGCTGCATGAGCCATGGAGGTGAGAACTGATTTAGCCCCAGGAGCAAAAGCAGCCTCTAAAAATAGATGAATCAGGTTCACAGCTGGTGCCAGCCATCGTCCCCCTGCAAAGTCAATGGTGCTGCTCCAGTTCTGTGTCAGCTGCAGATCCGACCAGAGACGGCTCAGTGCAGCTTTCACCTCTGCTCCAAGCTCAAGTAACCACCAGTACAGCACTGGAAGTCCCACCAGACAAACCCTCCACAACCTGTGGATGATCTACACGATCTCAACATGTGCTCAACAGTTTGAGATGGATGTTCCATGACCCTAGAGGGGGTCACTGGCCTGGAATTCCCAATGGAAGTGAGGTTCAGGACCCCACAAATTGGGCTGCAAAGGGAGGGCTTGGAAGTAGAGGTGAAATCACAACGAGGGCAGCTTTTCATGGGGAGAAAAGGAGTTTTAAACTCCAACTGGGAGTTTAGGGACCAGATTTCCACTGAGACTGGAAGAGACACAGGAACCGGTGATCCCATGGGATTGATGCTACAAGGAAAAGAGGCTAAAATCTTGGGAAGGAGAGTTTCTAACCACACGCTCACCCAGCTGCCAGCTCAGGAGGTGCTGGGAGAGAGAAGCTGGAAGGAGGGAAAGATGGAAATAGCCAGGAGCCAACTGAGCCAAGGCCCAAGGGGCTGCTCCATGGACAAGAAGGAGCAGGGACTGGAGATGGGCAGCCCTCGAGTCACTGCTGTCAGAATGGAGAGAGAGGGTTCACACACGCAACCTGGTGCCGCTCTCCTGCCCAGTGCTGGGAGAGCTGGCGAAGACCGGCTCTCCAGTGCATCCCCAGGCCAAACATGGGGGTCAGCAGCACCCCTTCTGCTCCAAAAAGGAACGGGGAGACTCTAAAATGGGGCAGCATTAAAGAAATGCCACTTCAGCCACCCCAAAACACCACGGCAGCACCATGAGCACTGCACACACAGAGATGCTCATGGGTTCCAAAGCATCCCAGTGATGGATGGTGACTCCAAGCCAGCAGCAGCTCCCCACATTCACTGGGTGCACTGGGCAGGATGCACTGCTCCATGCCTCAGTTTCCCCTTTGCCAAAGCAGTTCTAAGCCATTGCAGAGCTATACTGATATTTGAGAGTGGGACATAAGGGGGATCGCTCTGCAAGGCCACCATCCCTATGGCAAGGCTAAGCTGTGCCTTTACTGTGGAGCAGGAAGAAGGAAGTGGGGAGCTCCCAGTGCAGACTGGTCCCACTCCAACCCAGGGCTCACATCACAACCTGTTCCCTCTCTGTTCCCTCCAACACACTCCTGCTAAAGCAAATGCCTCTCCAAGAGCAGCTCAGCACACGGGAGAAGCAGAACCAAAGAACGGTGTGAAAAATCTGGGCTGAATTATTGTGCTCGGGTTTATTTTGGGGGTTCCTCCCTGTTTTATTTGGAGCTTTGCACCACTCAGAGCATCCCTCCGAGGTGGCGAGCCCTCAGGGATGGGCAAAGGATCAGGTAACCCCTTTAAAACAAGTTAAGCTCTTGCTGGCCAAGCATCCTCTGCGTGTGTGTGTTGCTTTTGTGTTAGCAGCAAAAACACTGCCTTGACAAAGTGACCCCCTGCCCCGTGTGCTGCTGGTGGGTGTGAAATGCCTGCAGGATTTCTTACCATTGAGGGCTGTTTTTTTTACACCTCTAAATACATCCAGAATTCATTTAGAGCCCAAATGCCTGGATGTGTGCATGTGGTGGATTGATAAGCTGGGTGATGGGGGATACACACACAGGGATGGGATGGGATGGGATGGGATGGGATGGGATGGGATGGGATGGGATGGGATGGGGGGGTGTGTGTGGGTCAGTGGGCAGCACTTTGGGAATGATCTAGGAGTAGCTGGGAGAGGAAACACAGGCACAGAATAGTGCCCAGGCCAGGCTGGGAGCTCAGAGATGCTCCTGGTTCCATGGGATACATCCTGAGCATGTCAGTGTCTGTGGGCAGGGACTGTCTGCATGGCCAAGGGGGGTAACGGGGGGGTGTTTGTGCATGTACGTGCTCCTCTGTGTGAGTACATGGTGTACCTGGTCCGCAGGGATGTGTGAAGATGAGGAGGGTTGGGAAGGGGAGGTATTTGTGTGTTACTGTGGCTCAGAGCCTGTGCTCACATGCTCTGATGGGCACTGTATGCCGTGTGTGGGCAGCATTGATGCGGTGATGGTGGGGCCCAGGATGATGGGACCAGGGTGCTGGTGGGGTTCAGGGAGAGGTGCTTATGCAGAGGCACAGGGTGTCCTTTGGGGCTGCTGAGGCTCTAAAAGAAGAGCACAGGCTCCCTAGGGATAACTGTGACAATTCCATCTGCTTCAGGACCTGATCTGGGAGCCAGCAGGCACCAGCCCCTTCTCCCCACTCCATACCTGGGTCATTAGATGTGGCTTTGCACACAACCCAGTGAGAGGAACCCAAGCAACCCTGCCTGTCCTGGAGCATCCTGAAACTCCAGCAGGACTCAACCTTGTCAAGGACCCTCCCTGACAATCCCTCATCTCTGTGTGCCCAGGAGGTGGGCAAAGAGGGCAGGGGATGGGTTTGCTCCCAGTTTCAGCCCAAATGCGACGCACTGGGAGGGGATGGGGAGATGATGGAAGAGATTTCCTGTAGGATGAGGTATGGCCAATGTGCCCCATCGTGGGAAGGGGATGGCTATGGTGGGGCCCACTAGCAAAGCCCATCTCACCCATGGCGATGGAGAGATGAAGACACAACCCCAGGATCTTCCCATCCCACCTCCCCACTGTGTTTCAGGAGCTTACCCTTGCCGCCTTGGACGAGTAGGGATCCTCAAAGAGCGCCCACATCCTGGGCTGCCAATTCCGACAGCAGCCAGCCCCTCCGGCAGCCCCCGCCGCGCCTGGGGGCCTGTCATCCATGCCCAGGCGCTGCAGGGCCATCTCCCTACCCCCTTCCTCTTCGGGTTCCTCTCCGCCAGCCCCTCCACCAGGCTCGGGGCTCTCGAAGATGTCCAGGGCCTCTTCAGCATCGCGGTGCTGGCGGTAGGTCATCCAGCAGCACGGCTCCACGTCCGTCTCATCGATGCCCCAGTAGGTGAGCTCCTCCTCGAAGAGGGGTCCGCAGATGTCCGCGGGGCAGTGCAGCTTCCCGGTGCGGTAGTAGTTGAGCACGTAGGAGAAGATCCCAGGGTGACGGTCGAAGAAGAACTCATTGCTTTTCCCATCAAAGTCAAAGTTGCTCTGGGCATCGGGGTCGGCCAACCAGGCCAGGCGGGTGCCCGGCAAAGTCCGTAGGGTGCTTTTGTAGGTCTCATGCCGGGTGCCCCCTACATTGATGGTAATCTTGTCCGAATCTTCCCCCTTGCCCATCTCTTCCTTCAGGCATGTTTTGGAGGGTGGTTTGTTCCCAGACTTGCGTCCACGGTAGGAGGAGACACACACCGAGCTGATCATAGATTTCGGTGGATGGGAGATGCACGCTACGCGCACCCTTCCTCCGGGCGAGGAGCTGGGGGTCGGCGGAGGCGGGAGATGGGGGGCACAGATGGGACTGGGGAAGGGGGGAAAAGGTGGGGCTCAGCCTTGGCTCCGGCCTCCGAGGGGAGCAAGCTGGAGCCGAGCCGGACACCGCTGGCTGCTGGGGGGCACAGCAAGGGGAGGCTGCAACCTCCACCCCCCCCAAAACCACCCCCCAACCCCGAATAAAACCGCCCTAAACCCCAGGAGCCAGCCCAGCCCCGCCGGGCAGCAACAAGTGCGGCAGGAGGGGGCTCGGGGCGGGGGGGGGGACACAGCGGCTGACCCGGGGGATGCGGACCCGCCTGGGGATGCTGCTGCTGCTGCTGCTGCCGCCGCCGAGGCCGGGCCGAGGGAGGAGGGACACAGGGGGGTTGAGCCCCGATCCACACCGGGCAGCGCGTCCCCGACTCCGGTACCTGCAGCGCCCGGCGCGGGGGGGCCCCGCCGCCCGCCCCTCCCGCTCCACCGGTTCCGCGCTCCCTCCGCCCCCCCCCTCGGGCCGCGCTCGGGGAGAGGGGGAACGGCGGCGGTGGGGGGGGGCTCGTTCCTGGTTCCCGACTTGAGGGGGGGGGAGATGGATGCGACCCCTCCGCCTCCCCTCCCGCTGCGCCCCCCCCCCTTCCCCACCCGGGCCCTGCCTTCCCCCGGGGGGGGGCTGCGGCGCCGGGGGCCGCGCTCACGCGTGGCCGGGCCGCGGGGCCCTGTTGCGCCCCGCGGTCGCTCCCGGCTCGGCGGCGGGAGCAGCTCCGGGGCTCGGCGGGGGACGCGGCGCCGCCGCCCCCCCCCGGGGCTTTTATGGATCTGGGAGCAAGCGGCGGGGTTACGGGAGCCGGGACCCCCCCCCTCCCCCGAGCCCCAGCGCTCGGCTTCACAGCCCCCCGCTGCGCCCCCCGCCCGCCTTCATCCCTCCATCCCTCCCTCCCAGCCACGCTCCTCCATCCCGCATCCCTCCGCCCCGGCTCCCCCCCGGCCCCCCGCACCCCCAGGCCCCGCTCACCTCCCCGCGGCTGCGGGTGAGGGTCTCGGGGCTCGGTGTCAGCGAGGAGTGAACCCCGGACACCCCGGCTCCGCTTCGCGCCGGAGGGGAAATGCAGCCCGGAGCTGCCTGCGGATCCGGAGCCAGCTCTTGGCAGAGGCTCGAGCAGATCCCATCCCTCCCTGGCTCGCAATCCCTCGCTCACCGGGAGGTCAGGAGAGACCGACCCCGAGCGCGGAGCCGTGGCCGGTGGGGAGCCGGGTGCCTGCGGACAGACCAGACCCCCCCTTCCCTCCCATCACCCTCCTTCAGCATCTCCTCGTCCTCTTTCAGCTCTCGAGTGGAAGATGCCCCTTCCCCACGGCTGCACCTCGAGGCTGGGAGCAGGGTACCAACCACCCCAGCACCAGGGGCCCTTCCCCTAAACCCTCCTCCTTGGGGGGGGTCTCGTACCCCCGGGGTGCTGGGGATGCTCAGCCCATCTCCTGGGGACGCTCAGCCCCATCTCCTGGGGATGCTCAGCCCCATCTCCTGGGGATGCTCAGCCCCATCTCCTGGGGCTGGGGAGGAGGAGAAAAGCTGCGGTGGCCCAGGGGACAAGGCTGTCAGCACGGTGAAGACCCGAGGGACCCCATGCTGCCAGGGTGAGGGGGTGCAGGCGCGTCCTTTGGGGTCGCAGATGGGATCCAAGCCCAGCATAGGCCCGCTATTGGGGTGTCAGGGGGTGAACCGAGGGGGGTCAGCACTTGGATAACAGAGTCCTTGGTGCAGGGTGAAGGGACAGTGAGCGGGGGATGCTGCCCCACTCCAGCATCCCCCTCTGCACCTCCCCAGGCTCTGAGCATCCCCCCATGTCCCTCCGCACCCCCTGCCCCAGTCTGTCCCTTACTGGGGGTGCTGGGGGGGTGACTGGGGGCAAAGCTCCACCCAAAACCACCACCACGAGGCGTGAGAGCCGCGCTTCAGATCTTACCCCCAAGAAAGCCCTGCTCCAAGAGTAACTGCAACAGCTTCCAGGGCCGGATCCTGAGCGGGGGGAGGCTGGGGTAGCTCCACACCCAAACCACCCGGGGCTGCACCAGCGGGAGAGCTCGGAGCCCCAGGGAAAACCGTGCTGGGAAGATGGAGCCTTGCATCACCGGCCAGGCATTGCAGCTCAGCTCCTCATCCCCGGAGCGCGGGCTGGGCCGGGAGGGAAGGAATGCTGAGACCTGCTCCTAATATTTCATCCCGGTGGCTTTCATCCCATGGAGATCTTGGTGTACCCAAGCGTGGCTGATCCCGGGGTGGGAGGAGGTGGCCAGGCAGACAAATGGGTTGTATCTGGGGAAGGAAGAGATCTTTAAGCCAGCAACACCCGCCCAAAGCTGTCTGCTCTCGAAATATGCCTTTGGATTGTTAATGTCCATAAAAAAAAAAAAAAGAAAAAAAAAAAGAAAAAATCAGAAAGGAAAAGAGAGAGAGAAAATAGAAAGAGCTTTGATAAAAAAAGGGCCTTTTTGGAGCAAGAAGGAGTCACTTCCGCAGGGACCTCCTGCAAGGCTGAAGGCACCTCAGATGACATCCACAGGGGGATGCACTGAAGAGCAGGTGGGTCCCACAGCCCTCAGGTGGGTCCTGAGGATGGGTAGGGGACGTCTGGGTGTCCCCCCTAGGTCTCTGCCCTGTTTTCCCCCTGACCCAGCACAGCGCCCTGAGCCCTGCACACAGGACGTGTCCCCAGCTTGGCACATCAAGGCCAGCATGGTGTGCCACAGGATGCTCCAAGGGCTGCATGGCCTAAAGGAGAGGCTGGGGATTGTGCCATATCCCCATCCATGGAGGGACAGAGGAGGAAGGTGGACTTCAGCTCACTTCAGGGAGAGACAGTCCTGCTTTGGGGTAGAGGGGGACAAAGCAACCTCTGCAGGTCCTTCCAGCTCAGGATTCTGCTCATGAAGAGCATGCATTGAACCTCCGCAACCCCTTAGATGCTCCAGTCAAGGCTTCTGCCCTCCTCCCTTCATGCTTTTGGTGGGACAGATCCCATCACAGGTCTGTGGATGGTGGCACCCGCAGCACCACAAGGTGCTGATGCTACAGAGCAGCTCCCCAGGGGATGAGCCTCAAGCAACCTTTTGGGATGCTCTCTTGGAAGATGGATCTTCCCAGAGCATCGGTCACAACCTGCGGGCAAGGTCCACCTCCGCTGGGGGGGATTTTGCCACTAAATTGCTCACCACCAGCTGAACAGGGCTATTTGGGCTGCACAGGGGTGCTTGGACACCCTTTGACCCCTGTCTCTCCCTATGCTCGGCCTGGAAGGGGAACCGGCTCATCCCGTGATCCCCACCAAGTGCCTGCACCCCAGCTTGCTCCGGAGAGCGCAGCGCTGCTCGCCCATGGCTGCTCTCGCACAGTGCCACCTTGTGGGTCCTGCCACGGAGCTGGAGCCAAGGCAAAGGCAAACCACAGCAGACGAGGGCGTCTCGGTCCGGCGGCGAATCCGGCTCCATCCACAGCATCACTGATGTAATTGTGCTCCATAAACACAGCCTGGGGGCAGGAGGAGGAGGCTGCGCTGGAGCGGGGATGGGGATGGCGAGCGTCTGCCTTTGGAATGGCTGGGAACGGGCCATGAGCCTGCTGAGCCTCGGTTTCCCCATCTTTAAGCACCGGGATAACTGCCTCTGTTTTCCTTTTGGCGTGCTCAGGGAACCGCTTCACGACGCTGTCAGTGGCTCCACCGTGTGTCCGTACCCTGGTCAAGAGCTGTTTTCGGATGGGACACGCAAAACCCACCTCCTGATCCAACATCAGCAGCCTCCACCTCCCACGAGGCTCTGAAGGTTCCCTGCCTCACTGTCATGGGACATCATTTAAAGAATAAACCCCCAAAACACGCGGTTTTGGCTTAAATTTCACACCTGGGTCTCTTTTCTCCCCCCACAAGGGCCAGAATCACCCTTTGCAGGTTGTCTCATTCTGCTGTTTTGTGGCACCAGGGCCCTGACACTCTGTGGGGTGGATGAAGCCAAATCCTGCCCCACTTATTTCCTGCCCCAGGGCTTTTCCATGGCAGCAGCTCATTGAGATCCCTGTGGTAGCTGCAACCCCAAGGATGCAACAGAGGCGCTGCTCAGGGTTTGCTTTTGCAGGCAGAAAGAGGGATCAAACAAACCGAGGTCCCTCCATGCTGTGGGGTGACCTGGGGACAATGAGCCTTGTCCAGGGCCTCCGGATCCTTGATCTGAGCCTCCTCCCAAGCCCAAAGACACCAGCACACACAGCACAGTGGGCAGCTCAGCACAGCAGTGAGCGCCACGTGTGGGTACCACAGACCCTGAGGTATCCCCCTGAGCCAGGCTCAGTGATGCAGCACCTGTAATCCTGCATCTGTGCCACCGCACTGAGGATGAGGAGGAGCTGGGAGCATCTCCATCACTACTCCACAGACCAGGGCCACACTGGGGCTCAGAGCTGCTCTACGTGTCCTGGTTATCATGCCTGGGGGATGTTTTCCCCCCAAAGCCTCCATCACGGCCAGTGCTGCTGCTCCAACCCCTTGTCACACACTCAACCAACATCTCCAGATGGTGCAGAGGTGCTCAGGGAACCTGCTCTGCTCCTTCATGGCTGCCACTGCAGCATGGATGAGTCCAGGTCACAGCCACAGTGATACCCTGATGGCATCTCCAGTGCTGGTGCATCTCATCTGGTCCCATCCATCCTGTTTCTTCCCCCCCTTTCTCATGCTCCCCAGGACTGATTCAACCCTGGAGATATCAAATGAGCTACAGAAGATGGTAGGGAAGGGAAGAGGCAGCCATACTCCCAGCCAAGCCTGTTCCTAAGCGGGTACCCAGCAGCTGAACTCACCTGGGGCTGCTGGAAATCCCTGGTCCTTCTCCAAAGGGGACCTCCAGACTCTCCCAGTGCTCCAGATAGGCCACCAGCAGTAGAACCGGGTGTTGTGCAGAGGAGTAGATGCTGCATCTTACCAGTTTGTGTGTACTGGTTGAACTGGTCCAGGATGGAAGATCACCTCCACGATGCTCCTGAAGCATCCTGAGTGAGCCTCTTGCAGAGGCTGGTGCTGGATGCGAATCAGAGGATGAGGGGAGACAGAAGGACACCAGTGGGGATGGACAGGCCAGGGAAGGACAGAGACATCGATCCCATGGGTGCCAAGAGCCCATTGCTTTAGCTCTTTCCAACCCCAAATCTCAGAGAGCCCCCATAGGAAACAGAGACACAGAAGAGTCGTGGTGAGATTTGGTAAGAAGAGACTTTAATCAGACTCCATTACATCTGTTACAGGGTTCTCTCCACTGCTGAGGAGTCGGGCCGGCACGGCACGCGTGGTAAATACACCGGCTACGAGGATACATGGGACAAGTTACTACGAGATCTGTGCTTTTACCTGTACAGGAGGGGTTCACCAGCGTTGTGCTTGCCCACAGGGGAGGTGGCCACATCCTCATGATGCCGTGTGTCCGTCCCCATGGTCACCAAGGCCCCCCGGCTCTTCTGGGTGAGACCCAGGCTCGGGGCAGGATGGGGATGAGAGGAAGGCAGTGGGGGTTGCTCCATGGAGGAATTGGGGGTTGCTCCATGGAGGGGTTTAACGTGATCTGACAGGGTCTGGGAGGAGGCCGGGGGCTGGATTGGAGGGGAAAGAGCCAAGGGACACCCAGGGATGGTGCCAGTCAGCAGAGTACACCCATCTCCAGCCATCCCCATCAGGGTGAAGGGCAGGTCCAGCCCCACCAGGGCACCAACAGCAGATCCGATGCTCTGGATGGAGCATCCCAGATCCAGCCCCCAGACCCACAGCACCGCCAGCACCAGCCATCCCCTCTCCAGACACACTGAACCCCTCCCCAGGTCTGTCCCCAGGGAGGGGACACTGGTTTGACCCCTCCTGATCCACCCAGCACATCCTTGTCCCCCACCATCCTGCTCTGAGCAACGGGATCCAGGCTGGGAACCGAGCAGGACAGGGATATCAGCAGTGGTTCCCCTTCCTTCTCCCACTGCCTGGAGGAGAACTGAAAAGTGCCTGTGCTCACAAGTAGCAGCTATTCCCTGTGCCTCTGTGGGGAAAAAGAGGGGAACAAGTGATTTCTAGGGCTAAAAGCTACTGAGGATCAGCCTGACCCGCAGCTCAGGACCCTGAGGAGGTGTGTGGAGGGAGAACCTGCCCCAGTGAGCAGGAGAAACTCCCCCCCTACACACACCCCAGGCTCCAAAAGTGACCGAGGACAGCGAGAAAGTGAATCCCAAACAAACCCATCCACACGGACACACACGGCATCTACGGACCAACACGCGCACGCTCACACGGCAACGACACGGATCACTTCCACTTGTAACACACAAGCCCAACCCCACACCCCGCGTCCAACACCGAGCAAATGCCACGAAGGAATACAGTATTGCCACAGATAGAAAGGAAGGTGTCATCCCTCCTCCTCCTCCTCTCTGCTGGATGCCCCAGGGATGATGGATGCCCTGGGCTAAGGCGGGGGGGGGAAGGAAGAGCCACACATGAGAACTCAAAAGGTAGAAATAGGTCCCAATATACAATGAGAATGGATCTGTACAGCACTGGGACTGGAAATAGGTCACGGGCCACTTTGGGATATGTTTTGTCATTTAACAGCATTTACAGTAACATTTACAGAGTAAATATACAATAGAAATAGAGACTCTCCAGGTTATGATTCCATCTCCTCTCTCTGCATATGCTTTATGTATCTATATAATAGAGCTTCTGTTGTTACCTTCATATTGACTTTGCCTCTTATTGACACTGCAAAGAAGAGAGGAGGAAAGCGAACACCTCCCTGGCTGGCTTGGGAATGGTGATGGGAGAGATGGAAGCCTGGATCCTTCCTCCCAGGGTCTGAGGAGCATCACGCCATGGGAGCAGATGGGACTGAGCCCTTTGGTGTCCTGCTCTGTGAACTCCATGGGAGCTGTGGTAGGAATCCAGCCCCGCAGTTAGGGGTATTGGGAAGGTGACTTTGGGCAACGATTTGGCTCATCCTCTGTCTGGTTGGGTGAAGGAAAGTGGGGACAGAGGGAGAAGTAAGAGATGGGAGGGAACATCCTGCCTAATGATGGGGAAATGCCACAGGGTTTGTGCTTCTCCCATTCAGAGACAATGTTTAATGTCCCTTTGCATGGGCAGGGGAAGGAGAAAGGCAGCAGCGGGGACGGTGATGGGGGGACCACTGCAGGAGAGCCCACACACGGCTGGCACTTCTCAGAGCCATCGAAGACTGAGCTGCTTTGGTTCAGGCCACGTCTCCATTTTCCCCATGGCAAATGGTTAATGAAGGGCCTGAGCTAATTGTCCAGGAAGAGTCTTAGGGTCAGCAGCCAAGCCCATGAAGAAGGGTTGCAAAGGATCACAGTCCACAAGAGAAACATCATTGAGGGGACCTCCTGGCCTCAGGGATGGCAAGAGAAGGTACCTTCTGACTTCACCTCCCAGCCAAAGGGAGAAACACGGTGTAGTAAAACCCATTGACATGAAAGCAGAGGAGTAAAGGGCTCATGGGCAAGCACCCACAAACTTGGCCTTCAGACTGGCTTGAAGCACCATCATGCATGATCTAAGCCCAGCAGAACCAAGGATGAGGAGTTCTCTCAGCTTTTGGAGACCATAGTAACATGCTGAGAGGAGAGAGGGGGCAAACGAGCTGCTGCTCTCCTGTCCCATTTGGGAAAGAAGGAAGATGCCACCTAATACTTGACAGCAATGCTTGGCTACATGTAGGATTCAAGGAAATGACCCTCAGGCACCGTGGGAGAGACTCGGAGCTGGGAGATCCCAACCTTTCCTAGACAGCCTGTGGAAAACCAACATAAGGTCCCATCAGTCTGGTCCCCAGACAATGTGGATGGGGGTGATAGAAGCCCCTGGGCTCTAACAAGGGATCACCAGCCTGGATCGAGAGCTAGCGGGGACACCAGGACCTGGCACTGATTCCCAATAACTGCTGCTCAGCAGATGCCTGCTGCCCCCAAGAGCTGGTTACCCCCACCTGAAGGCTGGTGGGCTCCTGTGGAAGTGCAACAGGAGGTGTTGCAGACCTCCTGGATTGAAGCTAGGAGAAACGAGGACCTGCCCGGGTCACTGCACTGGTGGGTGCAAGGGAGGTAAGTCAGGAGGTGGTTTCCTGAGAGCTAATCCAGGCCTGTGGTAGCGCTGGATGCCCCTGGAGAAGCTGGATGCTCCCCAGAGAAGCTGGATGCTTCTCTGCTTGTCCCTCTGGGACATCTAAAGAGTATGGCAAGAGGAGATGCTCACCATGCCAGGGGTTTGGTTCAGCAGAGCATCCCACACGTCAGGAGTAACTCCAAGAGAGCGCTCCTGACCCCCATCATGGGAACCCCATCCAGACCCCACACGCTCACCCATCTCAATCACCCTCACTTTGAGGTCCTTCTGCCACTCATCACAGTAACTGCCCAGCCACGGAGCACCCCATGGATGTGACACCTCCGTGGCCCACAACAACCCACAGACACTGTCCCCATGCTGGTGGCAACACAACAGATATCAAGGATCCACCATCCATTGTCTCACACCTTGCAATGTCTCAGCCAGCCCCGTGCTGCTCCCTGGCAACCCTGGTCAAAATGTGGGGGTTATTTAGGTGTGTCCACAGCTATAAAAACCTACAGGAGATACAACAACAACAACGATGGTGACAACAACAGCACCTTTTTGTGCTCCGAACATCGATGGGTAATTGTGCTCGTTGGAATAAGGCCATGACTCCTCCCGGCTAAAGGACAACAGAGTGGGAGGGAAGAGTGCTGGGTGACAGGAGGAAGTGTGCTGGCTTTCCACCTGCCTCCAGGTCCTTTTTCCAACCATCAGCTGCTTAGAAAAGAGCTTCTTTGCTTCAGGTTTCAGCTGCATTGAGAACAACTCTTGGAAAGGTATTGCAGCATCTCTTGTTCCTCCTCCCATCCCCGAAGGCTCGGGGAGATCCTGCCTTTCCACCCAGGGTTGTCGGAGGAGTCCTGCCCCTCCTGCAATCCCTTCTTCCTGATGTCATCCTAGAAATGGCTGCTTTTGGTTACGATTTTAAGAGGGGTTTCTTCTTCATCTTCCTTAGTAAGTAATTTTCCTGTTGCCTGGACAGCCAGGATCCACTCCCCAGTGACCTCCTCTCCCGGTGGGGGTGGTCCACAGGCAACCATCACAGTTCGGATTCCGGGGTGCTGGCCAGCATGTACCCGCTCCCATATCGTCCATTGGGGGCACTGCTCATCTCCATGGGGGAATTGCTCCCAGGACCCAGGTAGGAGCGGTGTGTGGGCATGGGGGACGGGGTCTCGCTGGGCACTTTGCTCAGGATGAAGCGGGTCTCATCATTGTCTTCCAAATTGGAGATGTCCTTCATCATCCGGCCCTTCTTGTAGGTGACAGAGAGGGCATTGGAGCCGTCCGACACGAGGTGGAACTGCCGGAGGATGAAGACCAGGGGCAGAGGGAGGGATGCCAGGATGATCAGAGAGATGAGGATGGCCATGGCCCAGGTTGGGTAGAAAAGGAACTTCTCTGCAGCCTAGAAGAGACAAACACCAGTGTCAAGGGGCTGTTACAGTAAAGGGGATGCACACCATCTCTAGACAATTCCTGCTGCCACTCTTCATCCTCAGGGGCACCACATGAAGCTGTTGGAAGGTGGCTTCAAATCAAGGAAAAGGCCATGGTCCTGCACACAGTATGTAGCTGTGGAAGCCAACCAAATCCAAGCTCTCATGTCAGAGCTGGCTGAAGGCTTCTGGGCAACGTGGACAAACCTGATGGCTTGCAGAGGATGAGTGGCCACAGGCAGGAGAGGAGAGGAGAAATGAGCAGAGCAGTGAAGTTCCCTATTGTGAGGGTGCTGAGGCACTGGAACAAGGTGCCCAGAGAAGTAAATGCCCCATCCCTGGCAGTGCTCAAGGCCAGGTTGGACACAGGGGCTTGGAGCAAGCTGCTCCAGTGGAAGGGGTCCCTGCCCGTGGCAGGGGTTGGAGCTGGATGATCAGAAGGTCCTGGGGATTCTATGAGCAGGGTGCTCTGCAGCTCTCAGCTGCCCCCTGCTCAGCGTGGACCACAGTGGGAGGTGATGGTGGGGAAGGGATCTGTGCTCACCTCCTCTTTGATCCAGGCGCTGTAGCCCGGGGGACTGACTCCCAGCTGGATGATGCTGGCAGTCATGAGCACGGCCATGCAGATGGGAGAGACGTACTTCCAGGTGTAGTAGTAGAACTGGTAGGGCCGGAAACCCAGCATTTCCGTCAGCTCCTGCATGAACCTGCCGAGAAGAAGAGATGAAACCATGGCATTGCCCCCTACAAGTAAGAGACTCCCACCCAGGAGCCCCCATTGTGAATTATGCTCAAGGTAGAGCCTGAAGGAAAATGCAGCTGATCCAGACAAGCATCCCAGTGTCCATCAAGCCTGCAGGACTGGTTGGAAACCTCCTGAGGAAAAGGCCATTTGAGCATTAGCCAGAGCCCCCTTTGCCAACTCATGGGCAGCAAGAACAGGTACTAAAGTGAACAAGGTCTCTTTCCAGAGCTACCTGGAAACTTCAAATAAAAGGGTAATTGCAACTGATAGAGCACTACAACCAACAGCAGATACCCAGTAGAAGGACTTGCTCCTGGGGCTGGGCTACACTTAGGGCAGGACAAGAGAATCAAGGTGAACCAAATGCCTGCCTATAAGGTAGCTTCTCCTGGAGTATTTGCTCCATCAGAGCTGGCCTCTTGAGGAAGAAATCATATGGAAAAGAGCTGGAAGGAGGGTTTTGAAAGGCAGGTGGTAACAGCAACTGTATGAAAGCCAAGAGTTATAACAAGAGTATTCTTGTTGTACAAATGTCTTACTTCTTAGTGCCGTAAATCCAGGCCACAGCGATGTTCTCCAGGATGACCACGACCGTGAGCGGCAGCGTGGCTGAGTAGTCATCAAACATGGTGACAAAGTAATTCCCAGAGCGCTGCACGAAGATCAGTCCCACCACAAAGGCAAAGATGCAGGAGCCAACTGTGGGAAGCAACGAGGCACAGTCAGAGCACCCCACATGGAGCCAAGGCCTCCACCACAAGGTCCATCCCCTGCACTAGCAGGGTCCAGTTACATGGCCACGATGTCCACACTCCCCTGGAGTAACTCCCCAGGACAACCGGGACCCTCCACCCCTTCCCAAGGAGGTTGCAGGAGAAAAGACCTCACCTGTGAACACTTCCTTCCGCACCTTGAAGGTGTCGATGATGGGTGTCGTGATGCCTGACATGGTCCCGATCATGCTGCCCAACCCCAGGTTTATCAGCATCAGGAAGAACATCACGGACCAAAAGGGTGAGGCTGGGAAGTGGGTCATGGCTTCTGTGAAGGCAATGAAGGCCAGGCCAGTTCCTTGCACCGACTGTTCAGGGGAAGAGAGGACCAAAGGATGAGAAGGAACATGTCCGGGTCAGCCTGCAAGCCCCTGCATGCCTCACTGAACCACTCTTTGGCTACACAGGTCATGCTTTGCCTAGAAAGGTTGGACCAGATGACCCTTGAGGTCCTTCCAACCTGGGATTCTAGGATTCTTCAAGGAAAGAAAAAATCCAGTCTGGATCCAAGCCTGGAAGCAGTGATGACCCCACTGGACTTGCCATGGACAGTGCTTTTCCCCACCCCAGGAAGGACCACTGTGTGCTGGGCAAGACCACAGGGAATCCCCATGCCTGGAGAGTCCCTAAAAATAGTTTTTCCCAATCCATGTGCCAGGAGTGACACAAGGGGAGCAGCTCCCACCAGAGAGAGCCAATGGGGAAGGTGACCTCTGGGTCCTCCCAAGAGTCCCACCAGGTACCTTGTTGAGTTCATCCTCCAACAGGCAGGGGTCCAAGCCCAGCTCTTTGAAGTGCGCCTCTTTCACGGTCATGATCACCCTGTACATCTCGTTGTAGTCTTTGGCTGTGAGGTGGGAGAAGTTCACGTGGGGTGGGATGAGGTCGTGGCTCAGCACGTTGGTGTTCAGGTAGCCCAAGATCTTCTCAGCGTTCCTAAGGGAGAGAGGAGCCTGGTCACCAGAGATGTCCCATTCCTCCCAGGGTAGAGGATGGGGCCTGACCATGGCAAGCCCTTTACTCCAGGCAGGATGAACCTCCCTGGGTCGTGTAACCCACGTGCTGGTCAGAGGACCTCTATTGTAGGTAAACAGTGATTTAGGCCATGTGAGAGAGGATGCAGATGGGAGCCCACCAGGGAATGGGTTCCCTGTGCTTCCTCCTCAGGTTTATCTCCTGCTCTGGGGCTCCACACTGCATGGCCCAGATGTTTTATGGATGCAGCTCAGTGTCTAAAGATAACACAGAGTGCATAAATTCACCTTCCTCCAGCTGCTTCTAGATACAGCTCAGCAGGTCCCTTCCCCTTGCAGACAAGGGAACCCTATGATGTGCAGGAACTGGAGGAAAGCCAGTTGATGTGACCAGACATGTTGGATTTACCTTCAATATGTAGACTAAGAGCCTATTTTAGAGCTGGATTTTAGGCTGGAGGAGCTGAATACCCAAATCCCTCTGGAGATCCAAGTCCTGACCATCAGGAATTTGTATCCCCCAAAACACAGCATCACCCAGCTCCAGAGCACTTACTCTATTGCCTCCAGACCCATCACCACCACTAGCAAGGACCTGCCCACCCCAAACAGAAAAGCATCAAATCTTACTCCACCACACATTTCTCATTCATGATGTTGGCCTTGAAGCCCAGCACAGCAAACACAACCAAGGTGGCCAGGACGGACGTGAAGAAGTTGATGAAGGAGACAAGGGTGGCATCAAAGTGGCAGTTGTTGTCCTGCTTGTTGTAGCTGGAGAAGGCGATGACTCCCCCAAAGCCCAGCCCCAAGGCAAAGAAAACCTGTGTAGCTGCCTCCCGCCACACCTGGGGGTCCAGCATCTTGTCCAGCTTGGAAGGAAGACATAGGAAGAAGTTGTTAAGTGGCTTGGTGGCCCCACAACTCATCCCAGTGGAGCCAGAGCTGAATTAAAAGGTTGGTTTGGGAGCAGCCATGGGCATGCTGTGATCTACCACATTCAGGTCTTGCATTACCCAGCTCTCATAGGTCCTTTTTCCCACAGAGGGGGAAACTGAGGCATGGAGGTGGGCAGGGGAAAGTCTGATCTGACCATGTCTTTGGGTGCTCCATCTGCCCCAGAGCCCAAGGTGGATGTCCAACCTTCCAGTGCAAAGCTTTACAGCTTCCCAGTGGACCACCTAGCAGCCCTGGGGAGCTGGTATCCCCATCCCTTCACCTAAGGGCTCCACATGTCACCCAGTGATGGTTCTCCATCCTCCCCTGGACATCTCCTGCCTCCAGAGAAGGGAGTGCTTGAAATCAAACATCTTGGCTGCTGGGTTTGTTTAACCTCCCAAACCACATCCCCCCTCTCCTGCGAGCCAGAGCTGGAGGCCTCTGAGCATCACTCGCCACGAGATCATCATTAATATCTTCTAAGAGGCTCTAACACCAGCTGAGATGATTCATCAACATCTCTGCTTAATTCATTAATTAGCTGGTTAATGATGCCACCAACAGAGGGTTTGCTGCCAGCCAGCATCTTCCCATGAAGTCTTTATAGGCCACCTTGGGCCACCCCCATGCCCCCACCCTGGCACCTGGGTACCTAAAAGTGACAGGAGTGATGCTGAGGCTCAAAGCAGCCCCAGGGTGGTGAGTTCACAAGGTTCTAGGCTGTGCTGGCCATACCCTGTGTTTAGGGTGCTGCTGGCACATCCTGATGCCGTATCAGGACCTCTGGTGTAGTTTGGGGTTAGTACTCTAGGTTTTGGGGTGGAAAATAGGGGAATAAACTGTGACCAGCCAGAAGAACCTGCTTAGAGTCTGCTGGGCTTGGGGGTTCTCACCTTGGGTGTGAACATGTGCATGATCCCATCCACCGCCCCGCGCAGCAGAAGTCCCCGTACCAAGAAGCAAACCAGCACCACGTAGGGGAAGAGTGAGCTGAAGTACATCACCTATGGCAAGAGGGATGCAACGTGGCCATGATCTCACCGGCTGAGCTCAGCCACCTCCCATCCAACCCAAGGACAGCACAACAGGGGTTTGCCCTCCCCAAAACAAGGTCTGCTCCTCAGGCAGTGCAGGGTTAAGCTGTGGAACTCCCCAGTGCAAGATGTTACCAGGGCAGTGCTGCAGTCACCATCCCTGCAAGTGTTCATACACCATGGACCCAAGGCCCTCAGTACCATGGGTTAGTGGTGGCCTTGGCAGGGCTGGGCAATGGTTGGACTGGATGAGCTTAATGGTCTTTTCCAAGCTGGTTGACTCTATGATTCTGTAAGTGCTGAAGCTCAAGTGGATTTGCACTGTGCTTGGAGACACTTCATCTCTTGGGGCTGCTGAATGTGCAGATATTGGTGTTGGCTCAGGAAAGCCCTAAAACACAGACTGCTGGGGCTCACAGTGCTCAAGGGAAGGAGAGCTCTGCATCCCCATCCCTTTCACCCAGGGCTGCAGGTTCCAGGCATGTTCCTGCTTCCTGGCACGATGGGTAGATGCAGATGGGGCTCCATTGTGGCTGCTGTTGTGGTCCTGCTTCCGCAGCTCACTACCATCCTGCTCTCAGGGAAGGGGTCTCCTTGCCCTCTGCTACCGGCTAACACACCAGATGTTTTGTAAAGCACATCTGGAGAGAGGGATGTTCAAGTGTCCCAGGAGACCGTACCCTTCTGCATCCCACCCCACTGCTTACACAGCCTTGCTTGAAACATCAGTGGCCTCTGCAGGCCAACAGCGTCTTCTGCTCCTCCCTGCCCTGCTTCTGCACAGAGACACAGTGCTCCTGATGCAAAGGAAGGCTCAGCTCTCACCCCTCCATCCTAGGAGCATCCTTCCAGATGGTGTGCATCAAGGGATCAAAGAGCTGATGGCCCCCCATGCAGGGGCTGGGCAGGTGACTTGGCTACCCTGATGTGGCTGGAAGTGTCAGTTGGATTGAGCCTCTTCCCTACACCCTCTTCTGATCTTGTTCTGGATCGCCCCAGAGAGAACCCCAACTCTGGAGGGGGTGGGAGCATCCCAAGGGACACAGCATTGCCCAGCCACCGAGCTCAGGGCAGGAGACTGTGGTCCAGGCAGAAGGTTTCTGCCCCAAGGACAGAGCCCAGCCAGGCTCAGGTGGCCACTGATACTCACCTTCCCTGAGGACTGGATGCCCTTGATCATGGCCAAGCCAACAAGGCTCCAGGCCACCAGCAGGCACAGGGTCATCTTCCAGTTGAGCCCCCCGCTCTCTGAGATGGAGTTGGAGATGTCCAGGGTCTCCCGGTACCAGAAGTAGGTGGTGGCCGAGCTCCTCTCGCATTCGGTCTCCACAACTGCAACCAAGCATAGGCATGGGGTAGAGTCACCACCATCTCTTAGGGGATGAACATCAGCTAATGTCAAAGACCTGCTGGAGCTGGCCAAAGAGGAACAGGAATTTATGGTGCTCATTGTTAGCAGGAAAAAGAGGAGATGGGCCATAAAGCCCAAATGAGACATTAAATACAGGCAGAGACATTTGCATGTGCTATAAAACGTCCCAAAGTGTCCCAAGGAGATGCTCAGATGCTATTAAACACCATTAGCTCCATCAGCATCTCGGTCAGGCTCTGATGGAGCAGCCAGGTGAGCCTTGCCTAGCTCTTGCTGCCTCCCTCCAGGATCCTGGGTCAGACCCCATCTCTGAGCACTGGGGCAGCCTGGAGACCCAAGCTCTGAATCCCCAAACTAACCAAACCCCATCAGTGGGGACAGACCCCAAGGTGGGGGAAAGGCTCATCCAGCCCAAGGAAAACATCTCCAAATGATCGAGGCAGCTGGACCAGAGAGTACCCAATGTCCCGGGAGACATCTCAACCTCCAGCGTGCCCAACCTGGGACTTACATTGGGTGTCCCCAGTGTCCCACAGCCCCCTGCCCTGGGGACTGCTCCCCCCCGTCAATGGCCACCTCTTACCAGCCACGGAGCCATTCCTCACAATGGGACACTCGCTCCAGGGAAGAGGGTACTGGAAGGACTTGAAGAAGTAGAAGATGCTCCAGCCGATGATGACGTTGTAATAGAGACCAACAAAGAAACACACCTTGGAGGAGGAACAAGGACATGGTGTTAAATCACAGGGCAATGATGCTGTCCCTAGGACACCTCTGGCTGGATGGGGACTCAGGGCCCATTCCCAAACCAACCCTGGGTTTACCCAGGGGTGGAACTGGAAAACCTCCCTTTGACCTCTCAATCCTCCACATGGGGCCCCTCAAGGCTTGCATCCAGGCTCCCCTCCCAAGCTTTGCAGCAGAATCCCCCTGAGGTAGGGGCCCAAGGGCACCCATGGGTGCGCTCACCAGGCAGCTGGCATAGCCAATGCCTCCCAGGCGCGGGCAGATGTAATTCCAGACGCCGATGCTGCCCCTGCGGATCCGCTGCCCCACCGCCAGCTCCAGGAAGAAGAGGGGGAGCCCGATGATGATGAGCAGGACCAGGTATGGGACCAGGTAGGCACCTGGCAGGGGAGAGAAAGCTCAGCATGGGCCCACCTCTGCCTGCTCTCATGCAGCCAGGGATGGAGGGCCAGGCTCTGCCTGGTCCATCGGTTCATTTGCAATGGATCTGGGAATGCAGATCAGTGCTTGGGCAGGAGAATTCAGCCATGGAGAGGAGCAAACACTTGTGCATGGAAGGAAAGTGTGTGCAACGTCCCCTGCCAGCATGAGCCTGTGTGGAATAGACCCCAACACACCTAAAGACACTGGATCCATGCATACACATCACCCCCCACACAAGGAGACACCTCCATGAGCCAACCCATGGCGACGTGCACATGGTCCTGACCGTCTTGGATACACGGGCAGGGAGCAGCTCCCTGTTGACCCAGGTCCTGCTGGCACACACATATCAGAGCACAGCCGAGCCCTCTGCACCAACACATCCCCCCATTGGCACCCCACATTCCCAGCACCAGCATCCCGGTGCCCCCGGCACGGAGCGAGGTGCTCTGGTAGGAGCAGAATTAATCCCTGCCTAATTGAGGAGGCTGAAGGGGAATTGGCAGCTCCCAAAGCAGAACCCAATGACCGTAAAGGCTGCAATGACTCACGCTGCAGCGCTCGGCTGATGGATTGCTCCGGCTCCTGCCAGGAGCTGAGGAACGGGCTCGGGAGCTCACAACCTGCAGGTGATCCATGGGCACATGAGGGACCCTGGATGCATTGGGCAAATCCCCAGCTGGATTTATGCCCCGGTGACAGCCACCACCCCCAGCTCCGGGCAGGACCTGTGGCAGATGATGCTGGTCCTGAGCCAGCAGGTTGGGATTGGGAGAATCATGGAATGGTTTGGGTTGGAAGAGCTTCTGCCCATTGGCTCATCTCAGTATCCTCCATGGCAGGTTAAACCCATTCCCCTTGTCCTCTCCAGGTTTCTTGTTTGCCCTTGCAGGTATAGGTGGATTGATAAATGGGGAAGCTGAGGCACAGAGCAGCAGATTGCTGAGCTTCCCTGAGCTTTTCCTTTTAGCCGAGTGTTATCCCCTCCCCTTCCCCATGGGGCAGGCACTGATTTTCTGCCTTCTCTTCCCACAGTATTTACCCCCCTTGGCTCCTGTCCTGTGAGGCAGATGGATGAGGGAGCTGGGCAGTGATGGAGGTGAGCAGCCCTGGGACGTGGTGCTGCTGGTGGCTGGTGTGGCAGGGGTTGGACTGGATGAGCTTTAAGGTCCTTTCCCACCCAACCCACTCTGTGATTCTCTATCTATAAACCAGGGGCAATGGTGGGTGCTGTTTGTAAAGCCTTTTTGATGACCTGCTCCCAACACCAGCTCCGTGTCCCAGTCTCTGCCCATCTCCTCCACTGCAGCAGCTCTCAGGCCTCTTGTAGGGTCAATTCCCTGTCCCCGCTTCCCATCACATCCGCCCTTCTGTCTAAAACCACCTGCTTAACGCTCCCCCAGTGCAGACAGCAAATCCACCAGGATGGATCCAGCCTGGGAACACAAGCCGAGCCAAAGCCCTGCAGACACACAGGACAGCAGAGCCCTCGGTGTAAGCACTAATTCCACTGCTGTGCCAGTGGGGAAACCGAGGCACGGCTGAGCTGAGTGCTTACAGAGCAGCAGGACTCTGGAGCTCCAGCTCTGGGTCTGAGCTGCCTCCTAAGCTCATTGAATCAGGAAAACCTGCTTGGAAGAAGCATAGAGCTGTGTGATGAATCCATCAGGGCACATCCATCTATCCCATGCCTGGATTCACCCCAGGCCCTGCCTTCAACCTCCTCCAGGCCACCCAGCAACCCCAACTGAGGGCACTGGGAGCCGTGTGCCAGTGGCTGGGGTGATGCTGGGATGCAGGAGCTGACCGCAGCTCCATGCCAGCCGAGAAGGGAGGGAATGGGGGTGGGAGCAGCCCTGGGGTGGGAAGTGCTGACTGGACAGGTTTTCCTTTGGGAGAATGACTCATCCTGAAGATGACACCAGAGATGTTTTAATTATTGAGAGCACTGCAGGCTCCCAGGCTGGGGCACGTCAAATGATGCAGCATTGGGGATGAGGGAAGTGCAAGGGGAAAAGGGGGAAGCTGGGCTGCTCCTGGCCTTATTCAGTGCTATTTGACTGAGGCTGCTTCTCCTCACTGCAAAGGCCGAGGGCTGGGTCTGGGGTAATGAAGAGCAACCCATCAGTGTCATGAAGGGTGCCAGGTCTCAGCATGGCTGGGGGAAACCTGGCCCTCTGGGCTGCTCCTGCTCAAGCAGGGGGCATGGGGTGCAATGGGAGGATGGGGTGGCTGGAAGGAGGGCTTGGGAAAGTGCTGGAGCCTCCACAACGTGGCTTCAGGACATAGGGAAATGGTGGGGCTCCTCCTTCCTGCTCTGTTTTCATAGAATCATAGAGCAGTTTGGGTTGGAAAGGACCTTAAGGTCATCCAGTTCCAACCCCCCTGCCATGGGCAGGGACACCTCACACTAAACCATGGCACCCAAGGCTCTGTCCAACCTGGCCTTGAACACTGCCAGGGATGGAGCATTCACAACCTCCCTGGGCAACCCATTCCAGTGCCTCAGCACCCTAACAGGAAAGAACTTCTTCCTTATATCCAATCGAAACTTCCCCTGTTTCAGTTTGAACCCATTACCCCTTGTCCTGTCACTACAGTTCCTAATGAAGAGTCCCTTTAACCCGTTTCCAAATTGCCCCAGCAGGAATTGGGGGCTGCAGGAAGAAATCCTGGCTCCAGGCTGAGATTCCCCTTGACTTTGGAGTGGGTGGCTGGAAACCCTTCAGGAAGAGTCTGCATCCCTGAACTGCTGAATGCTCAATGCCCCTGGCTGCCCCCTTCCTCCTTCAGAGCCCCCAAACCCCACAACCGAGCCCAAATAAGCCCCAGGATGCCCACCCTGATGTGCAGCAAGGCAGGACTGAGCCATATCCCCTTCCCAAGGGCTGAGCCCATCTCCCACCTCCTCCATTCTTCTGGCAGAGGTAGGGGAAGCGCCAGACGTTGCCCAGCCCCACGGAGTAGCCGATCTGCGCCAGGATGTACTGCAGCTTGCTGTTCCACGCCGGCCGGTTCTCCGCGTCCAGCTCCTCATCCCCATCCTTCTGCTTGTCCCAGGTCTCCCCTGTCACGTTGAGGACGCTGCGTTTGTAGTCCACGGGCTCCTCATGGGCCAGCAGGTCGGCCACCGACTCGGTGACATGCTCGCTGCTGTGCTCCCGCTGCGTCACTTTGCTGTTCTTCGGCATCGGAATGGCTCCACGCGGCCCCAAGGGGCGGGATGGGGCGAGGGGAGAAGAGGAGCTTCCCACAGGGAATGGCACCCGGGTGAGCTACGGCTCGGGCCTCACCTCCTCTTCATCAGCAGGACCTGCATGGGTTGACAGAGGGTGAGATGGTTTTGCCTTGCTGGTGGGACCAGGGTCTCCATCACCCCCATGGCTTGGGGACCTCCCTTTGGACTGGGGGATGCTAAGGACCCCCTTCGTCATGACTGATGGACCCTGCGCACCCCTTGATTCAATGTTCATAGACAAAAACCTCCTGCAACCCACAGGAGGGCATTCCCCTTGACTGCAGGGGCTGGTGCTGAGTGATGGATCCGGTCACATCACTGTGATGCCTCTTGTCCTCTCTAACTACCCTGGACTAGCGGCTGATCCCCCCACAAGGGCTGATAGCACATCCAGCACTGGTCCCTCCCTCCTGGCCCATAGGCAGAGTCCAAGTTGAGCCCCACAGCAGCTTGGAAGCACTCACGGGATGGTGACAAACACCCAGGCTGTATCTCTGTCCCTGGATGTTATCAGGAGTGACTTAAAAGCCTGGGAATCTGCATCTAAATCTTCCCAGGCAGCTTTACAGCAGATAACGGCTGCAAAACAGCAGCTGCCAAGGCAAAGCCATCACTCATCCTGGCTCCTCCACCTTCCCAGCCTTGGTCACAGGCCAGGGAGAGCCGTACCGGCCCCAAGCCCGCAGCATCCGTGTGGTTACACCAGTTCACACCAGTTCGCCCACTCCACCTCATTCCCAAAACCAATGGCACCAGTTCCCATGGGCGCAGAGCTTGGGATGAGCACAGGCAGGGTAAGTTCTGGACCCAGGGAGGGAGCGTGGGTGATGAGCGGATGTGCGTGGTGGGTCACACATTTCCACTAGGGCTTCCTCTCCATACTGGGAGGACTGGGGGTGAGTGACTGCTCCCATCCCAAGCAGGGACCATGGTGCTTCACCAGCTGGGGAGGAGGAAACACAAGAAACCCCACCAGAAACCCCACATCTTGGAGGAATGATTCTCCCAAAGGGCCATGCTTCTTCCCTCTGTCCACCCTTTCCAGAGGACACCAGGCTGGTCACTGGCCCTTGGAAGAGTGATGGTGATGTGCTCAGGGCCCTCTCCCAGCCCAATATGGCTGTAGCATCACCTCACCTTGAGGGCTTTACATTCAGTTCAGAGCTCATACAAGACCCAGGTGGTATCTCAGAGGTCATATAACCCACCAGCACAGTCCTTGGGGCAGCCAAGCCTCATCAGGTAGCCGATGGCTACCAGGATGGATGATACAGGATGGGGGATGCAGGATGGACCTCCCGCTGTCCCCTCTGCTGAGCCAAGGTACAACTCTCTCCTGATTTCCCACAGCCATCCCATCTCTTCTTCCCTTTGGCCCAACATCCATCTTTTAGACCCAATTCAGCCCATTTCAGAGCAGCAGGTTCAGCCTGGGCAGCAAAGCTCATTCCCAACCAACGCACAGCATTCCCAACCCGGAGCGGGAGGGATGCAAAGCGTCGGCAGTGGGAATCCTCACCCTCCCTCGCCTTCACCTTGCTGTTTTTTCACCCCTGAAGAAAGTTCCCCCTTTGCCAGGCCCTGTTCCTATTAAAAAAGCTATTTCTGGCCGTCGGCTGCATCCGTTGCCAGGCAACGGTGTCGGCTCCGCATCTTCCCTGGATCTGGCTCTTCCGGAGAAGCCGCTTGAATTATTCCTTCAAGCCTGGGCCAGCAATGTTTAACTTCCTAACAAGGGCCCATTCATATAAAACACTCACAGCTCAATCGTGGCAATTACCAGCACGTGGCTGGAGCATCCTCAGCCAGGCCGGACACAGACACAGAGGGGAGGGAAGGGAAGGGCTCCATCCAGCTGCCAGGAAATCACTGGGATTGCCATCGATTTTCAACCAGGCTCTTTATGGATTGGTGCAGACCTGGTTCAGTCACCCATGAGCTGGTTGGTGCTCCCTGGCTGCTCAGCAGCCACTTTAGCTCCTTCTGAGCAAAGGCAACTCAGACCTTCAGGAGGACTGAGCCTCTGTGGTTAAAATATGCTAAGGATAGAGCCTAGAAAACCTGGGATCTCCTGGTTGAGCCCCTGAGCCCCCAGAGCTCAGAGCCCCATGGAAGGGGAACCCAAACTGCTCCCCTGGGACAGCTCAACCCCTTGGAGCAAAGCCTGGAGATGCCCAGCTCCAGGGATGCTGAGCCAGGCCAGCGCACTGGGGCCAGGATGGACCCCAAAGCACCTCTCCCTGGACCTCCACCTATCCCCATCCTCAGTTTAGGTCCCCCAAGCATCCTTAGGAGCTGAGAGGCAGCAGGTCCTTGAGGAGAAGGTTTCTTCAAGCACCTCCAAAGCCCCAGGGGCTCTTAGCACCTCGGAGGACACCCATGACAATAACATTCCCAAAGGATTTGGGATGCTTGGATGCTCTCCCGGGGTGGAGCAAGAGCTCTGTAGGCACTGGGACAGCAAAGGTACAAGCCTTCCTCCCCATGGGAGATGCACCCAAACTCAACTAGAGCAGGGAATAACCATGGCAGGAGCACAGCCAACACCAGCACAAAGCCACTGGCACACATAGCACAGAGACCTGATCCTGGGAGCAGCGAGGTCAGCATTCCAGAGCATCCTGCATCACCTGCAAGCTCAGCAGCCCTCAGATGGGAGAGCAGGGTCTGAATCCACCCGGGAGAGGTATTTCCATTCCTTGCTTCCATTGGAAAGGGAACTGGATCAGGACTTCATCTGCCAAAAATAACACCCACCCTGCGAGGAAGCGGCGGCTCAGCTGACGAGCAGGAGCTCGCTGCGCTGGGCAGAGATAGCAAACCCCTGGCACTGCCAGATGGAGATTCAGCTCCGTTCCTTCGCCTTCGTGACCTGAATTCTCTTCCATGTGCATTTTCCCTTCCTCTTTAGAAGACAGATTCGAGTCTTTCAGAGCCAACCCTCAATCACGGTGCCCCTTTGCGCTTACACCACTGCAGCGGGTCCAAGGCACGTGGTACAGGCTGCGTTCAGCCCACCCAGGGAAGGGGCAGAGAAGGAGAAGCTCTGCTACACCCAGGAGGTTTGATCCCTACCCTGTGGCTCCCATTGACCCCAACTGGAAATGGAAACACCCACTGGGGACAGGCTGCTGCTCGGGATGAGCGGAGAGCTCTGGGAGCTGAGGGTATCACATCTCCCAGCCCTGCCTGCAGCATCACGGAGCATTCAGCAGGGCAGGGATGCTCCAAGCCATGTGTCCTGCCTCAGCTTGTCCTTGCTTTCTTGGGAAGGTGGCTGGAGAGCAATAAAGGAGGCTGGAAACGTGTCAGCAAAGCTTTCAGCCAGGCCTGGGAGTGCAGAGGCAGGCAGGGGGGCATGGGGATGGACAGCCACCAACACGCTCTGGGGCTGAAGGATGGGCACAGGGGCAGATTTCTCCTCTCCTATATCCAGCTTCTACACTTACGCCCTGTTTGACTCCATAAAGGGGAAAATGAGGCAGGAAGAAACAGGCTGAGATGGAGTGAATTCACAGTTAACACTGAAACCATAGGGATTCTCTGCTGGTGCCTCCCTACCCCAACACCTCTCCTTGAGCTGTGACTCTGCTGCACTCAGCTTCCAGGCAAATCCCCCGCAGCTCCTAAAGGAGAGGGGGAAGATGCTCCTTGAAAAGCATCCTCGCTCCATCAAGGTCACAGAGCAGGGAAGGGAGGGAAGTGCAAAGGGCCAGAGAGAGGCAACGAGGGCCTCCAGGAGCTGGAAGGCCACTGTCAGGCTTGGACAGGGAGACCTGAGCATCCATTCACAGCTCCACATCCTCCTAACACCCACAGGGACAGGGAAAGCTTGCACACAGGAGCAGGCTGCTTGCTGCAGATGGGAAGGGGAAGGGATGGATCCAAGGTCACCCAGGAAGCCAGAGAGCCTGGGAAGGGGGGAAGGAACACGCATCCCTCCTGCATCCCTCCATACTCTGCAAAGCCAAGCAGCAAAGGGAAGGACCCTGGGTGCACAACCTGCCTTTGAGACCAGATCAGGAACAAACCAGCTCCAGGCCCATACCTGCTGCTCCCTGCAGTCCGGAATGCCTCTAGGATGGGACAAGGATCACCCTGGCAGAGCAGGTCCCTTGGGATGTATCCCACTCCTACAAGCTGCAAGAAACCAAGGGCAGGACCCTCTCAGCAGCATCCAAACTCCGCTTCCAAGCCATGAGCAGAGATCTTTGTCCCCAAGCATCGCAGCCCTGATCCCCCCAGCCCTGCTCCAAGGACCTCACTGCACCCACTGCCATAAAACCCTAAGGCTGGTCCAAGATGCCTCCATCTTAAATCCATTCCATGCTGGGGCTTGCTCCTCCCTGCTCATCCTCTCTGGCTCCACAGGGAAGGGTTTTGCCATCTGCGCTCAGTGGGGCTTCTCCCTTTCTCCAAATGATCCCTGTAAATCAGCACCAGGCCCTCACCACCCCGCAGGGATGACACGAGGTGACTCAATCCCACCAACGGAGCTGCACCCTGGGGTGCTCCCTCCCCTACACCCACCCATGAAGAGGCACAGCCAACCTGATGGGACAGCCCAGGGTGACCGGGGAAAGGGGCACCCATAAGAAGCTTCGCTGGAACCAAGCTCCCAATGGTGTGGGACCAAGAGCAGCTCGGTGCTATGCATCCGGTGGTGCTGGGGATGCTCTTGGCTGTGTCCTTCCCATGCAAACACCCAGGTCTGTTTTAGCATCGTGACACAGGAGCGGTTCACATTGGCTGATGAATCAGAGCTGCCTCCGCTTCTGTCTTACACCCACTCAAGTGGCTTTCACCGGTGAAAGCACCCAGATGTTATAAATAACCCCCCATCTCCCACAAAGACAAGCAGAGCTGGCACCACACGCTCCCAGCTCCGGGGGGTTCATGCCCCATGGGATGCTGTGGCATTACAACAGCTCTTCCCTTCAATACATGCCAAAAAAGACCTTTGGAAAGAGCAGTTTTGCTGCTGGGTCATGAGACAGACACAACAGCACTGGAGGAGGGGGGGCCAGCTCTTGGGCTGGTCACGAAGTGCATGAGCACATTGATTCAGTGAATCTGCTCTCCTCCCGTGACTCATTTAGTAGCGTGAACACCTCCATCAGCTGCAGTAGCATGACAGCCGTCATATGAGCACTCCAGGGCTCCCTTTCGCTCCCCAGATGATCTTTTCCCAGTTAGATCCCTCTTAGCTCACCCCATCCAGCTGCCCGTTAGCGACTGACCCCAACCCCAGGCCTGGTTTACCCTAAAAGGCAGCAAACCGGGTGGTACCCAGAGCCCTCTGCAAGCTCCTGCTTCTCCCTCTGGTAATTCATGATGCTGCTGCTACGGTTGTAAACAAACAAGTCCAAAGAGACCCAAGGATGGGGTAAAAGCAGAGCAGCTCCTCCTAAGGCAATGGTTTGCTCTGGGTGTGCGTCGAGCAGCACCTGATCGAGGGTGAGTTTCATCCTCGTGACTCCAGCTCGGGGGGAGAACTCCAGGGGAGTCACTCCACATTCCAACCAAACCCTTTTGTTCCCATTGACTTCAACAGCCGTCTCCGACTCATCCCAGCGGACAGCGCAGACCCCCATTTCCTTGCCCTTCCAAGCAGCTGAGCTGTCACCAAAGCAGCATCCAGGTTCCTTGACCTAGTCCTGACACCTCCACAGGAATATTCACAAGGAACTCTATGCCCTGCCAAGAATAACTCCGCTGCTGTGGCGTTTTGGGGGTATTTTTCCTACCGAGACCAGAAACAGTTGCATCAGCTCCTGCTGGATTCAAAGCCCAGGTGTCTCAGGCACAAGGTATGATCCAAGAAGCAAGATTTCACCTTCCGAGCCCTTTCCAAAGAGCTGGGAGCAGATTTCTCAGCTGGTTTAAGCCCCATATCCCCAGAATGATGTAAATGTGCCTGTGGCCAAGATGCCAGCCCGAAACACGCACCTCCAGCGATGCAATACGGGCGAATAAGGACTCCCCACACCCAGTAGTGAGAACTGTACCAGTAACCAGGACCCCAAACCCCATTTTTTCCTCCTCAGAACCAGACATCTACATTCAGGGAGCAGCATAGAAATAAAAGAAGGGGAAAATAACCCACCCCCCCCCCCAGCACTTGGGGGGCCAGGGATGAAATCCTCATCGCAACCAAATGCTTTCTCCTCTCCCAATGTTATTGTCAAGGTCAACCTGGAAGCTGCATTTCCACCCATCCTCAGGCTCAAACGGGGTGAGCCCCCACCAACCCCAGCCGGGCGGCCAGTGCCATCCCCTGTGGTCCCCCCCAGCCTCTCCAGGGTGGCTCAAGCCGTTTGCTGTCTCTTAATGTCCCCCCACCGCCCTCGATGCCTTCACACCTGGGTGTCCCCCCCACTGCCACCCCCTCCCCAGGGACGGGATCTCCACCCCACCAAGGGGCAGCGGTGGGGGGGGCACGGACAGAGCCGGCAGCGCTCGGTGAGACCGGAGACCCTCGGAAGGAGCATCCTTACCTCGGGGTGCGGCGGGGCTCCGGGGGGGGGGGGAACTGACCCGTTAACGGGAGAAACTGAGCAAATCCTGGAGGAAACGGAGCAGATTCCCAGGAGAAATTGATCCGGTTCCTGCCCTCGATGAGGAAAGGAGGCGGCGGCGGGGCCGGTACCTGGGTCCCGGTGCTGCGCGGAATCGCTGTCGCTGAGGAGGAGGAGGAGACGCTGCCCGAGGGGACCGGAGGCTGCGGGGATGGGCGGCTGCGGGGAGGGGGGGAGCCGGCGGCCGCTTTCCCTTTCCCCCCCCTCTCCCAACCCGCCCTCCGCTGCCACCGCTCGGCGGATGCGCGCTGGGCTCGGCCCGGCCCCGCTGCCGCTCGCCGGAGGGGAGGTAACTCCGATGGGCTCCCCAGCAGACAAAAAGCACCGAAAGGAAAAGCGATTGAAAATAGGAAGCAATAAGGGATGAGGGACACGCAGCCCCTGACGCAGGCTTGAGTCACCAGGGCTGCACGTCAAAGCTGGGGTACCGGCACCCCCCTCCCCCCATCTCTCTCAGATGAGGGTTCTGGCATTAAAAAGGCAGAAATAAACAGAAACGAGTCCGGCCCGAAGGGGGAATTTGGATTTTCCCATCCCAGAGCTGTGGGGAAAAGCAAAACTCCCTTTATAACATCCCCTGCCCCAAAAGAGCGGCCTCGGGGGGGTCTGTGGGGAAAGGTTGGAGATTGGGGAACCCCTATCATAGAATCCCAGCCTGGTTTGGGTTGAAGGGACCTTAAAGCTCCTCCAGCTCCAACCCCTGCCACGGGCAGGGACCCCTTCCACTGGAGCAGCTTGCTCCAAGCCCCTGTGTCCAACCTGGCCTTGAGCACTGCCAGGGATGGGGCAGCCACAGCTTCTCTGGGCACCCTGTGCCAGCGCCTCAGCACCCTCACAGGGAAGAGCTTCTGCCTAAGAGCTCAGCTCAGTCTCCCCTCGGGCAGGTTCAAGCCATTCCCCTTGGCCTGTCCCTACAGGCCCTTGTCCCAAGCCCCTCTCCAGGTTTCCTGCAGCCCCTTTAGGCACTGGAGCTGCTGTAAGGTCTCCCCTTCAGGAGCCTTCTCTTCTCCAGGCTGCCCCAGCCCAGCTCTCTCAGCCTGGCTCCAGAGCAGAGCTGCTCCAGCCCTCGCAGCATCTCCAAGGATGCAGAGGAGTCACTGTCTCAGACCACACAGGGACAAAGGGAAGCAGTCAGGACCCAGATTCTGCTCCCCATAGCTCAAGTGTGGAACCTGCCCAGTGATGCTTGCTGCTGGCCCAAAGCCTGGTGACCCTCACGGACCCCAGACCCAACACTGAGCTCAGAGGGCACCACATCTCCACCCACATCACTTCTCTCCCACACCAAAGCTGAGCCCAGGAGCAGCACAGACCGGAGCAAGGGTGAGCTGGGGGTGTAAGCCAGCTTTAGAGGATGAGATACCTGCATCTATGAACTCACCTTGAATGCTGATGGTGAAATTCTGCAGTAAGAGTCCCATTCACATCCCAACACAATAGGATATGGTGACTCCAAGTCAAAAACACACCTTCTTTCAGCACAGCTCTTCAGAGCAAGCAAAACCCAAATCCACCTTCTGAGGCTTAATTTATCACTGCCACTCACTTAGGGTGCTGTGATGCAGCAGGTGTGGTGTGGCTAACAGAGCACCGGGGACGCCTGATGTGCTGGGGATACTGGTACCAGTATCCATCTCCTGAGCCTGTGAGAAACCTTGATGGGAGAAAAAAACACGTTGGGAAGAGCCAAACCATGGAGGATTCAGCCTCCAGCCCAAAGCAGGCTCCTGGACCTCAACATTTGTGCACATTTCTGGCCTTTGGAGCTGGTTCCTTTTCCAGCCTATTAAACACAGAATAATCAATCCTCCCGGGTACCTGGGAGCTTGGCCAGTGCCTGCTCTGAGATCCAGCACCCGGGTGATGCTTGGAGCAATCCCTCCTCCCCACCTAGGAGAAACGAGGCCACGCTCCATTAAACCTGCACCTTTGCCCATTCCAGGCAGGGACAAGGCAGCTCAATGTGGCAACTGAATGGGAAGAGGCTCATCACATCCAGGATTTATCGCCTGTCTTGGCTTATTGCTGCCATGGCTCTGCACATCTCAGGTGAAGAGAAGGCTCCTGAAGGGGAGACCTTAGAGCAGCTCCAGTGCCTAAAGGGGCTGCAGGAAACCTGGAGAGGGGCTTGGGACAAGGGCCTGTAGGGAGAGGCCAAGGGGAATGGCTTGAACCTGCCCGAGGGGAGACTGAGCTGAGCTCTTAGGCAGAAGCTCTTCCCTGTGAGGGTGCTGAGGCGCTGGCACAGGGTGCCCAGAGAAGCTGTGGCTGCCCCTTCCCTGGCAGTGCTCAAGGCCAGGTTGGACACAGGGGCTTGGAGCAAGCTGCTCCAGTGGAAGGGGTCCCTGCCCGTGGCAGGGGTTGGAGCTGGAGGAGATTTCAGGTCCCTTCAGTACAAACCAGGCTGGGGTTCTGGGATTCACTGATTCCTGCTTTCTGATTGATGGGAGAAGCAGAAGTGCAGGGCAGAGGTGCAGTGCCCAGGCTGAGAAGATGAAACTTAGAGCCATTGGGACACCAATGAGGTCTCCTGCTCTCCCCTTTGGGACATGCAGGGGACAGGCAATGGCAGGTATTAATGAGCAGGG